AGTGGGTGCACCACTGGAACATCTGAAGGACCAGGCTGGAACAGAGTGTCCAGGAGAAAATCTGTCTATGTAATTGCTAAGGGTGAACGCTGACTTGATGACACATAATCAAATCAAATTGGTCAAACTGCTCAAATCCTATGGGGAGATTGTGAAGAAGTATCTAAGGAAAAAGTATAGAAGCAGGGCCATAGAGAAAGATGAAGATGAAGTTGATAAGTTATAAGCTGAATAATGATGGTATCTGATCCCAAAAAATGAAATTGGAATTGTTCAAGGTGCAATGAAGAAAAGGAAAGAATTTCAGGAGGGAGAATATCCAAGAAAGATGTGCTTAAGAGTTACAGTTTTAGAGATTAAAAAAAAACACATGGTTTTAATTACCCAAATATATAATTACCCTTCTAGACTTTGGAGACTGTGGTAAGAAAAGACATACATATAGAACAGTTAGAAGAGTAAGGAAATTTTAATATTAAAATTTCATTTTGTTTTCAGCTATTAATTTTTCAAAAGGCCTAAAATTGTTGAAATATAAAGGAGAATAGAATTTTTTTTATCTTTGGAGTCCAAAGTTTTCCTTGATTTATTTGCTTCCTTATATAACTTGGATAAAAGTTTAAATATTTAAAGTTTAAATATGTCCTTTCATGAGATATGTCTTACATAGCTTATATAGAAAATAGGATGTTGCAGACATAGATTTGACATAGCTCTTTTTTTTCTTCTACAGCGCCATTGGTTTGCTGTATTTCATTCGGCGAGGAAAGCAATGCTTGGATTTCACAGTCACGGTTCATTTTTTTCACCTGTTGGGCTGCTGGATTTACAATGGATCCTTTCCAACAGCTTTGACCTGGTGGCTTGTACATACTGTGTGCACGGCACTCATGGCTGTGATTGGGGAATACCTCTGTATGCGGACAGAACTGAAAGAAATCCCATTAAATTCAGCCCCCAAATCCAGTGTATAGACCATCAGACGTCCTGTGTTTCTCCGTCAGCATCAGCATCTTGGTGCTAGTTTGTGATACGTGGAAATGCAGCTGAAGAAATCCAGAGGGCCTTAAACGTAGTAGCTGGGAGGCTGACATCTGCAATACTTTGATAGGCCAAGATGAATATAGTTTTTACATAACTCATTTTTATTACCATGCAGGCATGCTCAGTTTGCCAAAGTGATATAGATCAGACTCAGTGTTGGATAATAAAGCATAAAAAACATGGTAAATGAACTGATTTTGAGAATTTGAGAAGCAAGCAGTGAGTTGTGGTGATCACAGCTTCCCTTCTATATAGTGTGAACATCAGCTGACTAATGAGCTACAACAGTTGCACAATTGACACTTTGTTACCTTTTATCCCCTATATGTCTGATGTTTTACTTCCACTTTTTGAATTAAAAGATCAAGGAGATCAAACAATGCAGAAAGGCACAGTACTATTGTTCACTTGACTGCTCAGATTCCAGAAAGCTTATTAACAACAAAGAGTAATATGACTGTATTTATTGGATTGAAGAAATAATTATTTTATTTAATAAAGACCTCAACTTTCCATTGAAGCTCTGCAGTATATTGATCAGGCTGGGTTATATTATTAATATGATAGTAGAAATGAGAGAGTCATCAGTCTGGAATACAATTCAGGAAACCATGACCTAGAAACTTGTAAACTACTGGCTTCAAAAAGGTGAACAAGGACTAACCACTCTTGTTCACAGTGCATGGCATAGAGGGGTAACTGCCCCTGGTCACAAGCAAATGCTGATTTGTAGGCTGGAGATGCTTCAAATAAGCCTTCTTGTTTATTACAGTGAATGTTTTATCTTGAAGATTCAAGGATATTTGCAGGGTGGGGCAGAAAAAACAGGATGGTTAACTCTTTCTGTAACTGTACTACTGTCAACATAAACTTGTTTTGCATATTTTAATTGTCTTCTTAAAATGGAACCTGAGTAAACTGTCCTCCAGAGCCAATATTGTCTTCCTGTTAAAACAAGGGTGTGAAGGGAAGGTTCATCTGTAATGCACCCAAGGGTAGCTGTAATTTTAATTTTTTTAAACAATGATTTCTTTTTTGGATATACCGCACAGTTTTCCCTTTGTACATAAATATTTGGGAGTCCTCATAGTTTGTGTCAGTTACAACTGATAAATTAATGCTTGTAATGATTAAGGTGAATAACTTTGGAAAATGAACTTTATAAACCATCTCTCAAAGCGCTCTTTTGGATCCACTGATACCATATCAAGAAACCCAAAGGTTCTGCTAAAACAGCATTTTCTGTTCCACCTACTGTTCCAAATCAAGTATTGATTTGGGCAGAGGAAATCTCTTTCCTTGCACCATTGTTATAATTGGCAAACATAGGTGAGTCACACTGTCTTCTTTCAATGTTAACGTATTATACTGTATCATATTCATTGTTGAATTATAATTGCATTAGCATCACTTCTTCCAGTAGATGGCACTGCTTTCTTTTGAGTCAGTAATGAAAGACACCAATTCTTGTTGTAAACTGTATTATGCAATCTGTCTGGAGTACTTACGTGTATGTGTACATATGCACTTAATGGATGCATTTTCCTTTGGGAGTATCATAATAGCATACCTATGGCAGCAAAGGACATCTGAAGCCGTCTCAATGAATCTCTGTAGTCTAACATTGACTAAAGACTAGGATCTAATTAGGCAGACAGAGGCAATCTACGGACCCAGAGTTTTTCCACCCCCATTACTTGAGATATATTTACCAGATGTTATCAGGGATTTGCTGTCCTTTCTTGACATGACACTGATGATACGCTTTGAAGAAAAGCTAGGGTGCACATTCATTTATTTATGACCAAAGGCTGTGTTTGGAATTTAGAGCTATGTTTGAATCAGGCAAAGTGAAGAAGTGGTTAAAAAGAAATGGGTGTGTTTGGAACGTATTTGACCCCACCCACTTTTCCATAAATTGGCAGAACACACAAGTAAAATATGCTGCTTATGGTTGGAGACTGGAATGCCAAAATTGGAAATAGTAAGAAAGAAACTGAGTTGGACCATATGGTCTAAGAAACCTAGGAAATTAAGCAAGATAATGATGTAACAGTTTCTGCTAATCAAATTATTTCTTCATTGCTAACACAGTCTTCAGACAACCAAAACAATGCCTAGGTACATGGACATTACCTGATGGAATAAGCAAAAATCAAATTGACTATATTATTGATGCAAGGAGGTGGAAGACTCAGTTATATCAACAAAGATGGGGCAGAGACTGAAAAAGATCAGAAACAACTCATGCATAAGTTCTAAGTCAAGCTAAAGTGGAAGAATAGTCAATTTCCATGTGACCTCGAGCGTGTATCTACCATTTTCAAGAAGAACATCAAGAATTTCTTTGAAGTCCTGGACCTTATTGACAGAGAACCAAAGGAACAATGGCATGAAATCAAAAAAGTTAAAGATTGATGTGAAAAAAGGCTATCAAAGACCAAGAAACAGAAGAAAGCAAACTGGATATCAAAATAGAAGGTGGAAATTGCCAAGAAGGGAAGCCAAAGCTAAGAAACAAAAATCTCAGGTACTTAACAAAGAATTTTGAAGAGCTGCTAGTGACAAGAAACAGTATTGCAGTGACATCTCTAAAGACATTGAAGATGAAAACAGATGTGGAAAAACAAGGAAAGTCTTCCAAAAGATCTCTGAACTCAGAAGGAAGTTCCAACCTTAAATTGGTATGCTAAAGGACACTGATGGACACACATTAATGATTCAAAGAAGATCAAAAAAAGATGGAAGGAGTATACTGAAATTCTGTACAGTAGGGATGTTAATATCCAAGATAGCTTAGAAGATATCACCTATTTACAAGAATGTCTAATACTAGAAGATGAAGTTAGATCAGCATTCCAGTCACTACCAAGTCAGAAGGCTACAAGAATTGATGAAATAGCTACAGAAATATAGCAACAGAAGAAGGATCAGTAAAGGTTCTAGCCAATCATGCCATCAAATCTGGAGAACAACACAGTGGCCAACAGATTGGAAGAAATCAGTCTACAAAGCAATACCAAAGAAAGTTCACACTACTGTATAATATTCTTAATTTCCAGACTACCAAAATAATGCTTAGGATGATCCAATGCAGATTACAGCACTACATGGAAAGGGAGATGCCAGATGTTCAAGCTGGTTTTAGAAAAGACCAAGGCACAAGAGACATTATTGGTTATGCACACTAGCTAAACAAGAAAGCCAAAAAATACCAAAAAGTCAATATATGTATTATTGACTATAGAAAGTCCTTTTGATTGTCTCAACCATGTAAAGCTGTGGAATGTCCTTGAGAAAATGGGAATCCCAGAACTTCTCATTGACTTTATGAGAAACCTACGTACAGGACAGAAGCTGCAGCCTGGACAGAACATAGTGAAATGGTTTCTAGCATCTCAGGTGAAAGTATTTAACCCAACAAGTCTGGGAGACCTCTACCTGAGACGTTAGCCATTATAGTCAAAATTAAAAATATTAATATCTAAAGAGAAAAATATTCTGACAATATAAGGTTGCTTTGTATGTTCAGTGCAAATTAGGCAGGTAGAATTGGATAGTGGGAGAGATTTTAAGAATGTGGGGAAATAGCTGCAGCACATAGGATATCCTACTTCATTTGCAGAGTAGAGTTATACATGAATTCATGTGGATTTTAGAGCAGGGAAAGGAGTGCAGGAAACTTCAAAAGTTGAATTACAATTCCCATAGCCTCAACCAAAATAGGCAATTATAAGGAATACTTGGAGAAGCAGTGAACAGTTACATTTCTCCACCCCTATCTTTCATGGCCATACTTCACTCAAGTGATCCCCAGAACACCAACCATCTTGCAATACAGAAGTTTTCCTTAGAAAATTGCAAGGGTGCTTACTTCTCACTGAATGTTTCTTTCGATTTCAGAAACATTTACAAGACTTTATTTTCACAACATTCATGGGAAAACGAGGGAAGAGGAAAAACTGGTTGTCAAGAATGGGGGAAAGAGGGTATCACAGCTTTATTCCTTGTAAATATATATAAATAAGGGTTCAGATGTTCTCCCTTAAGCTACCTCAGGGATTCTATTAACCATATTTAGTTCTGAGTTCTGAAGTCATAAGCCAACATGATACATTCCTTCAAATACTGCTATAACATGTCAGTCATCAGTCTGTTACCAGCACTTTGATCTTCCTTTGGACATTTTGGGGAGCTCATTTCAGGGACATAATGAAACCAGCATTTGTTTTGCTGAGAGAATCCAGTTCTTCTAAAGCCTCATGCTACCCTCTTGAGTTCCCCAGTATTTTCTGTCCTAAAAGTGTAATCTAGAAATTACTATGTTTACACTATATACAAAAAGAAAGCTGCTAGAAAGTTCTTTAGATGTAGAAGTCAATACAACAATTGTAAGTGGAAGGCTTATCAGAGCACACCCTAATTAGCAGGCCAAGAGACAAAATCTAGTGACACCATTCCACTTCTGCCACAATTTCCTACGGAAGCCACTTTAGTAATTTAATTCTGAGATCCTTAAGGCATGCATAACTTCAGATAATCAAAATTCAGTTGGAGCACTTGCCAAATTAATAATTGGTTTCACTAGAAAAAGTAAATGTTAGGAAATTCTGTTACCCACAATCAAGTACTCACTAAAGAAGCAAACAAAAGCCACAAACAATATTTACCAAATATTAAGAGAAAGAAATATATGTCCATTTGTACGAAACTGCAGAGCTGATGCCTTCATAAATTGAGCCAAATGAGCATCAGAGTGATGCCTAACAAAAAAAGGGTTGGGATCTGTGTTGAACATAAATTCTGGTAGTTACTGGAGATGCAGAGGTCAAAAAGATTGCCTTCAAATTTGATTTTTCTAGATTCCTTTTTCAACTTTTCCCAGACAGTCACCATCTCCTTCTGGCACACCCAAAGTGTAGCCATCGCACAACTGTGAAATTCATTCCAATATCTGCAAAAAAAAAAAAAAAAGAGTAAACAATAAGTTCTTTGCCACAAAATAAAAGATAGAATGGGCCATCTATGAAGAACATATATTGTCTATCCATCTGTCCACCATCCATTCTAATATTTAGTTATTTGGTCCATGCAATTATGACCTACTTTAATTTTTGTTCTTTTTTTATGACCTGCTTTACTTCAATCCATTGTAGAAAGACAATTGTACTATCCTCACATGATGGCTATAATTAATATATAGTTCTGCTGCACAGAATCTTTTCCAGTACGTGTATACAGCAGGATCTCTGAAATAATCCTAATGCAGTGTTTAACACTATACAGCTGAAAAGTGAAACATTAGCGCATGCCATACAACAGGGTCCCTCAGCCTTGGCAACTTTAAGATGGGTGGACTTCAACTGTCAGAATTCCCCAGCCAGCCTTGACTGGCCCAAGGTCACCCAGCTGGCTACATGCCTATGGCAGGACTAGAACTCCTGGTCTCCCAGCTTCTAGCCTGATGCCTTAACCAATACACCAAACTGGCTTTGTGGTGTCATTCTTACAATTTCATATATTGTAGTGTGCTGAAACAGCCTTCCTAAACTTCCAGAAGTATTAAGTTGAAACTTCCACACTGAAAGCAAGAAACAGCGTTACTGCCATTTTAAACCACCAATATAGCTATTTAAAGACTTTGAGAGACTTGGGAGAAGAATGTTCATTTAAACATCACCACACTTTCTTACTGTAACCTACATCAGTGTAATATTTTTCTCCATTTATTTTTATTTTGTCCATTGAAATCCATAGCCTAATAATAAACCATTATAAGGTTGTCAGGTAGCTTTTGCCAAGTTGCATGAAAAATATTGAACTATTTGATTTCAAATATTAAATTATCCTTTGGAGGGAGCCTCCACCATGTGTGGTGCCCAGGGCAATTGCCTTCCCCTTAAAAAGTCCCTGAAACAACACTAAAGAGCCTCTAGTTGACTGCCAACTGTCAAGAACTCATTAAATAGAAGAAATGTAGTAGAAGAAATCTTTTGAGACAATAATGAGATTGGTGCCAAACAAGGTAAACTCTGTTTTGATTTTGTACAGGCCGTTTCCTCTGAATCCTGCAGCAATATAGTAGGGATGGGTAGAGTAAGGGGAAACAATCCAGTCTGAAAGCACTTAGATGTTACCTGGCTCCATATTAAAAAGAAAAAGGAAGGAGGAATAAGGTGTAAGAGCCGAAGTGGCAATTGTCAGAGGGTGCCAAGTGAGGATTCTCTCTTTGCCCCCTTCCCCTTTCAACTGGATAATTCCAATTTTCCAATGCCTGTTTTTGAAGCCTTCATATGTTTGGGAATCAAATTATGTCATATGCCTTGTCAATCCTAGACTTTGGGGAACATTGCAGAATTCAACCCCCAAAAGGAGGGGGAAACCCAATTCCATTATACAGTGGAACCTCGAGTTACGAATTTAATCCGTTCCGTGACTCTGGAACGGATTAAATTC